GTTAGCATGCTTGCATATGTAGTTCATGCAGGGGCTTTGTATGCTGTATGTTTTTGAAATATGCATTTGGGATTTTGAAAAATGCAGTTAATTTAAAACATGCAATTTTTGGACAAAAATAAACTTGTGCATTCATTTAAAATTCCTTTCTTTTTTGTGAACCGGGAGAAATCCCGTGATTTGCAAAAAAGAGTAACTGATTCCGGCCATTGCTTTTAATGATGAACCTTAAATAATTTCGCTTTTTAATTATTTATTCGAATTCTAATCTCTTTTAATTTTGCAGGTAACATTAAGTGAGCAGACAAAAACGCATTGGATCGGAAGTTTTAGAATTAGGAATATTAGATTGGTTTTTTTTATTTCATTTTAGCTTTGTAAATTTATTATTGTAATTTTGTTGTAATAGATACAATGTTTACATAATAATTGTACAATTAGAAAAAATGAATAAAAAAAAAGTCCACTATTCGCCAATTAAGTTCTTCTTTCTCTTTAATTATTTATTTTATCGTTTACACTTCTTTAATCGTATAATAATTGAAAACGAATTTCAACTACCTACATTCAGAATAATAAACAGATAAATAAATAATTATCATTGATCAATTAATAGCCTCAATTATTTAATTCATCATCCATAACTTTCTAAATTATAATAATTAAAATAGGATTTCAATTATTTAACTTAGAATGACAAATGATTAAATAATCGTTATTGACCAATGAACTTTTCCGAATATTTATTATATTATTCATAAACCTTTAAATTATGTAATAACTAAGAATGAATTCCAGTTATTTAAATTTAAGGTAGTGAGTAATAAATAAATACTGTCCGCACAATTAATGCGCCTCTTCTCTAATGTTTATTTTATTATCTATACATCTTTAAACTACATAATAATTGAAAACGAATTTCAATTATTTAAATTTAAGACAATAAATAATTAATAAACATCATTTTAGCACGAATCGATTAAATGATTTAATGTTCAGCATAAATAGCTCTTGGCCTGAAAAAAGTTATGAATTTTAAAATCGATGGATCAAAACACTTGTAATGTAATGATGCAAGTAGGAGACGATATCTTAGGTCAAAATTTGAAGTACAACAATTATTCCTTAATGAGCTCCAACTTACACCCCCTTATTACTTATACTCACACAATCAAGGCCCACATTAAATAATATTAGCTTCTAACATTATTTCTCATAATAATATAATACCTCAAATATATTATTATTTCTCCATTTAATAAAATAAATCTAATTTAATAATACTTCTTCACAATTATTCCAAAAATAATTTAATTAAGTAATTAATTAAATTACGGGCGTTACAACAAGTCCATGATCTAATGCAACATGCAAAACCCTAACCCTTGGTCTATAAATAGAGATGTGATTAAAGATAAAATAGAGTTCAGCCGTTCACAGATAATATTGCAAGAGTTACGTTACTGAGCAGTGAAAGTGTGCTAAAGTCTTCTTTCCTCATCCAGACATGTGCTTGTTGATGAGCTGTGGTACGACTGGAGCTATCTCTTGAAGATTAGTCATCTCAAGGCATCCACCAAGTCTCACTTAGGTTTATATCTTTTGTTCACTTATTATTTTAAGATATTTTCTTTGAGAACCATGTTTGTAGCTTGTACTCAGCTCACTATGAGTTAAACCTTTTGTAGTTGGGCAATGTGAAATTAATATCAAGTAGTTCTTATGTTATATGTTGTATGGCTAGTACATGCTTTACCATGTGTTTGTTTTGCTAAAAAATTGTTTCTTTGCTTGATCAACTTAGAAGTAGGCAGCAACTTGTTGTTGCGAGAGATCCAACAAACAAGTGTATTGCATGAGTAAAAATGGTTGAAAGAGTAGGATATAGATATTCACTTGACCTAATTTTCTTAGAGATAAGAAACTACAATCATTAAGGAATTCAAATTAATTAAAAGACGTATATTAGGGTTATAAGTGAGGCTTAGAGATTTGTTTCCTTGTCCTTTTATTCATGCTTTGGATGATGTAGAAATACACCACAAGATCACTCTGGCCTTACCTGTTACGACACTACATAGCATTAACACATAACTACACAAAAGATATTGATGGAACAAAGCTCAACTCAATCATTCTTAATATATTTCCACCACTTTTTACCATACTTTTGATTCTCATTAAAGTGAACTGGAGCTCATAAGCACCAATCATTATTTCTCTTTGCTCATGCTTAAATCAAATCTAAGTAACAACACTCTCTGTGGGTACGATACTCTATATTTATTACTTGCTGCAATCAAAATATGTATACTTGCATGTGCCACATTTGTAGAAGACAACAAACATCTTGATGACATAATGGCGGATTACGAGAGTCATATAGTATCAGAGGAGTATTGGAGTATGTTAGCCACAAGTTAGTGGTCTTATTCGGACAAATACATGACTTGGTTCTATAGTGTGTCGCACTCTGTCATGACACCAGATACTTCTGATCATCCACCTAGGCCTGGTCATGAGGAGATCTTAGATAATTAGCAGGCCATGGATGACCATGTCATTGATGTGCTACCGATCTGTCAAAATATTATGCAGATTACGTATGAGGGCATATAGTCTGAGCTATTTGAGAGAGGTGGAGGTGATGCAGTTGCCCTTGCACGTGCCATTCTTACCAAGTTGCAAAATACATTGGGTTATCGACGACAAAGGAGGAGGCAGGAAGTTAGGATTAGGCATACGAAATAGGCTATGCTTTTTTTATTTTAATTTTGAGATGTTTTAGTATTATTTTCCATACTTTTTAAACAATATTAGTAATATTATGTGAAGTTTTTTTCAATTAATGTATTACTTTGTTCTATGATATGCGTGTTTATTAATGTTTGAATAAAGTTATGATACTGTTTATTGAATTAAAATGATTTTGGATTAAAAAAAATATAAAGTTAGGACAATGTTTCTATTCAAGATGTATGCATGTAAATTTTCGGAGATGCGTATCTGAAATAAAGTTGTTTAAATAGCTTAAATGCACTCATTAGTTTTTTAAGAGATACATATCCAAAATAAGATTGTTTAAATAGTTTAAAATACACTAAATGATTTTTGAAAATGCATCTCAAGATAATTTTTTTTTTCAAAAATGGGGTTGATAAATTGTTCAAAAATGATAATTATTTATATTTTTCTTCAAATATAAATAAATTATTGATATTTATATATCAATAATTTTATATAAAAAATAACATGAAAATGTTACTCTGTCCAAACTCTACTCATTAACCTCCTTAGGTGGAAAAAAATGATGATATACTAGTTTTATGCCTATTGTAACTCGTCAAACTATTACAAAGAATGTATGATTGGTGATTGATACCATAAGCTTATTTTAAGTTTTAATTTAAATATGGTAACAATTTCGCTTTATAATTTTATTTTAAGTCAGTCATATTTGAATGGATTGGATTTTCTTGCCGTTAATAGTACTCTGCAATCACGCAATTATGCGTTTTTAATTGTCTGATCAAGATCTAACAATTAAATATCATTATTGTGTTATTGCGTGCAATTTCTAATTGTAGAGAATCCATTTAAATATTTGAACACTTCTATCTATACATCAAATTAGAGGATAGTCTAACTAATTTGAATTAGACAGCTATATAAGTTGTTATTCTAACATTTTTTGTATTTATCTTCTTGATGTACTAACTTAAAAGAGTTGTCGACAATTAATCATTTTTCCCGTGAAAAAAAACCATTTTTTAAAAAGAGATTTTAGACCAACCATTTTTCTATTGTAAAACACAAACAAAGAATTCAAAGAAAATGTTATACTAAAATATAATCTTTTAAAACTAAAGAATATCTCAAAAATAAAATAAAAATACTATAAAAAATGATTTATTAAAAAGTAAACCTAACTAAAATAATAATTTGAGTTGAAAAAACAACAAAAATATAATTTGAAGAAAAAAAAATTAAACTAAAAAAAGTAATGTATTTAATTTAGAATTTTAATAAAAAATACTTAGATACAATTTTATATGTGTAGTTCATTTTTTTTCAATAAAAATATCACAAATATATTTAAATATTTTTTAAAGAATAAAAATAAAAAAAATTATATATATATATATATATATATATATATATATATATATATATATATATATATATATATATATATATATATATATATATATATATATATATATATATATATATATATATATATATATATATATATATATATATATATATATATATATATATATATATATATATATATATATATATATATATATATATATATATATATATATATATATATATATATATATATATATATATATATATATATATATATATATATATATATATATATATATATATATATATATATATATATATATATATATATATATATATATATATATATATATATATATATATATATATATATATAAATTATATATTTATCATATTTTCATTAGAAAAAACAGAAATTACACTTAAGAAAATACACATAAGTTTTTTCCAATTTTAATTATATTGTGTAATTACACTTAAGGAAATCTAAGACAATGAGTATAATTTTTTAAAATTTTATTGCATGTTATCTTTTATTTTTTTGTATAACCTTAATTATATACTATATAATTTGAAGTGTAGAACTTTTAATAAAAAGAAATTAGATACATTAACTTATCAATTACTATTTTTGTTTACACTTTATTCTAAAAGTACTGATAAAAGAAATCTAGTTGGTCAAGAAAAAAACTATAAAACCCATAGAAAGTCACCATTTTCTTTTCCACTTCAAATCATATCATCTTCTCTTCTCTTTCTTTCTTCCTCCTCATCCATCCACTCTCACTAACCATTTCTCTTACGAAACCGTTCTCCAGTAATATTCCGCCACGTGTCACCTTCCCACAACTTCAAAATAACAACAACACCAAACTCACCGCGAAACAACCACAATCATCTCCATGGGCACCGAAACAGAAAACCAAACCGGGTTCAAACTAGTTGGCTACAGAAACTTCGTCCGAACCAACCCGAAATCAGACCGGTTCAAAGTGAAACGCTTCCACCACGTCGAGTTCTGGTGCACCGACGCAACCAACACCGCGCGGCGGTTTTCATGGGGACTCGGAATGCCAATCGTCGCTAAATCAGACCTCTCCACCGGAAACTCAGTTCACGCTTCCTACCTCCTCTGCTCCGGCAACCTCAATTTCCTCTTCTCCGCCGCGTACTCTCCTTCCATTTCACTCTCATCTCCCTCAACCGCTTCCATTCCCACCTTCTCCGCCGCCACCAGTTTCGCCTTCGCTGCTTCCCACGGCCTCAGCGTTCGCGCCGTGGCTATCGAAGTCGAAGACGCTGAACTCGCCTTCACCATAAGCGTCGCCCACGGTGCTACTCCGGCGTCTCCTCCCGTCGTCCTCGACCACCGCGTCAAACTCGCGGAAGTCCGTCTCTACGGCGACGTCGTTTTGCGCTACGTCAGTTACAACAACTCGAACCAAACCGCCGAACCTAATCCAGACCAGTGGTTCCTCCCTGGCTTCGAGAAAGTATCAGATGAATCCTCTCACTCGTCGCTAGACTTCGGAATCCGACGACTAGACCACGCCGTCGGTAACGTACCGGAGCTTTCTTCCGCTATAAAATACCTAAAAGAATTCACCGGTTTTCACGAATTTGCGGAGTTTACAGCGGAAGACGTTGGAACAGCTGAGAGCGGGTTGAATTCAGCTGTGCTGGCGAACAATGAGGAAACCGTGTTGTTTCCGATGAATGAACCCGTTTATGGAACAAAGAGGAAGAGTCAGATAGAGACTTATCTGGAGCACAATGAAGGTGCTGGATTACAGCATTTGGCTTTGACATCTGAGGATATATTCAAGACTTTGAGAGAAATGAGGAAGAGAAGTGGTGTTGGTGGGTTTGAGTTTATGCCTTCTCCTCCACCCACTTATTATCGGAATCTCAAGAACCGTGTCGGAGATGTTTTGAATGATCAACAGATTAAGGAGTGTGAAGAGCTTGGGATTTTGGTTGATAAAGATGATCAGGGTACTCTGCTTCAAATTTTCACTAAGCCTATTGGAGATAGGTATATGTTTCTTTTTTATCATATATCATATCATATACATACATGCAATTTGAATATCATTGTTATCATAGCAACTTAGACTTTGATGATATGGTTTGACTTGAAAAGATGTAGTGAAGACCTAAACAGCAAGGGTTGGCCTGTTGGCGAGAGGAGAAAACCAATTTAAAGCTTTTGTATTATTTGAAAAGATTATTCTTTATTGAAGATAAGGGCCTTCTTTGAGGGCGTGCAAGACGGACTACCGCACATAGTCTCATAATTTTTACTGTTAAACTATAACTATTGGTCCAAAGAAAATATTGGTTCATATATTGTTTACAATTTGATTCACATTTTCCCTTACCAATAGTGGGAATTTCCCGGCATTAACCATGTATTTTGATCCGGTGTTTTTGAGTATTTGAGTAGTAATAATGCTCTTCGACTTGACAGTAAGGCCTCTGAGCGGTTTAATCTCAAATCAATTGTCGAAATTGTTTACTTCGTGAAACTATGAAATTGTTAATATTAATTGTTTTCTCTTGTGTAAAATGTGCAGGCCAACCATTTTCATAGAGATAATTCAGAGAGTTGGATGCATCCTGAAGGATGAGGAAGGTAAAGAGTACCAAAAGGGAGGATGTGGTGGCTTTGGCAAAGGCAACTTCTCAGAGCTTTTCAAATCCATTGAAGAATATGAGAAGACTTTGGAATCTAGAAGAACTGCATAATTCATGTTGTGATCTTGGATGGTTGGAGTTTGAAGCTTTTGTTGGAACAAGATTGTTCTTATACTTAGACAAATAAATTTCAATCAATACATATAAACAGATAGATAATAATGTCTTATATGTTACTATATTGTTAGAAAACATACTTCAATACAATAAATATGATGTCTCTTTTATCATATGTGAACTGGTGTCAGCTAAGTTTTCTTATTTTTATTTTTGATGAAGAAATGCAAAATAATATGCCTCTTTTTAGGCCTAAAATGCAAAAGCAAATTTTGTTATCCTTATTGAAGTAATATGTTCCAGATTTGAAAATTTGACTAGATGATTATTTAAGTATAACTTTCTATTTTATTTTTCTTTTAGCTTTGGATCACGCCTTCATGCAAAATGGCGTGTATCAGTGTGCAAAGTTTGTTAGAGTGTGAAATTCTGTGAATCATTGTGCCTTCTTATAGTGTGTTTGGAATCACGGCAACTCAAAACCACGGTAGCCGTACAATGAAACACTTAGTAGTTAGTTCTATTAGGGATGTTCCTTTAGGGATCTTAGTTGCCTAAATATCTTTCTTTTTCTCTCAATCTTTATAGAATCTTTCTCTTGTCTGAGTTTGCACTTGTTTTCTATTAAAGATGCATCTTTTGTCCTTATTTCCGTTTCTTTGTTATTTTGATTTGTTCTTTTGCGTTTATGTTAGAATTCATATTCATACATGGTGATCATACATAAGTTAGAAATCGACGGGAGGGAGGTTGCAAAGCCTCTCTCGCTCCTTCGAGTTTTGCCATAATAATGTGTGTTTTTCATATTGTAAGAAGTCTGGTTGGTTTCCAACCATCGTTGAGGTTATCATGATAGCATTTTTCTAGTTATCTTTTAATCTCTGTTCACAACTCATAACCGCAAATTATTTAGGGGAAATTTCATAGTGAGGTACAATCTCGACATGACCGCCTCCAGGATATTGAATGCATGAAGTCCAAAATAATTATGTTGTCTCAAACATCATATCTAAGAAGATTCAAGCAAGTGCTTATATGATTGATATATTTAGAAAAGTCATGAAGCTTTAGAGTGTGAAAGAGAGAAAACGTGAAAGCTCCCCCAATCGCATTTTAGAGAACACTATGTTGTAAAAACACAACGGCATTTTCGTAAAGTTATATGGATAAATCATACATTCGCTAAACACTTTTAAAGTCTCTATTTCTCAAATAAAACAACGTTAAAATGTTTTAGTGCCTAGTCAGATGAATTATGAACTCTCATAATGATTTGGACAAGTTTTTTTGAACTGTCCAATCGATTGGATAAGTGCAAACATTATCCATAATCGATTGTGGCAGTGTCTTAATGAAGGACAACGACTCTCTATCCAAATATTCCAAAATGGATATGCACAATAAATTATTTCAGCCATCCAATCGATCGAATTGAGGACCCAATTGATTGTGACATTAAATTGACCCATGAATTGTTTCCTTTTTTACCAATCTTTGACCTATAAATAGAGGCCTCTCTCTCTCTCTCTCTCTCTCTCTCTCTCTCTCTCTCTCTCTCTCTCTCTCTCTCTCTCTCTCTCTCTCTCTCTCTCTCTCTCTCTTAACTTTTTCACATTCAGAAACATGGCTATCTCTCAAACTTCACTCTCTCTAAAAATATTTGTCTACTTTCTCTCACTTAATTTTAGTCATGGCGCTTCAAGAAAGTCCTTGTGTTTAAGTAAGGTTTTTGTTTTGTAAAAGGGTGATATTGTAAATTTACCGAGAGCTATTTTCTTTTGGTTGAATAATTCTTCTTAAGGGAGTGTTTTTTTGGGTTTAAAGCTAAACCCGTTAAAAACTTTATTTGAGGATTTAGTATTAAGTCGTCGATTTAATTCGTAAGCTCAACTCGTGTGAAAGCTTAAATTGGTTCGTGAGCTTAGTCTGTGTAAAATCTTAACTTGGTTCGAGATTAGTCTCATGTAAAATCTCAATTTGATTCATATTTAGCCTGTGTAAAACCCCAGTTCAGTTTGTTGTCAGCCCATGTAAAACCATTACTTTGGTTCGGATGATAGCCAACCGAAAATCATCTTAGATTTGAGACTAGCCTATGTAAAATCCCATAGTTTAAACTTAGAGACTAACCGTTTGAAGTTTTGTTCGTGATTGGAAGGAAAAGTAACTGCTTCAATCTACTCTTCGTTGTTTGGTAAGAAGTTAACTTGAAATTTTATTTTTCCTTGTATAAAGGGATTCATGAGTTTAACCTACTAAAACTCATAAACATTACTGGATACTCTCAAAATCAAGTCTTGAGGAGAGGATTATGTCACTTCCTTTAGACCGACCCTCTATAGTTTCTGGTGTGATAAATTTTATCCTAATCTTTTTATTTTCTTCATATTTCTTAAGTTTAACTTTCTATTTTATGCTTTGTGTTCTAGATCGTCCGAAAGTCCAGTACAAAGGTCCAATCGCACACAAGACCAATAAAGATTATCCAATGTATAAAGTCATCACACATGAGATTCATGATACTTTTCTTATCTCCTCTTTTACTATATTCATCTTGGATTCTAAACTGACTTCGATATTGTAGTGCTAATCTTACAGGTCCACCCTGCATCACCGTACTAGATATCAACATAGCCAATTCCAGAGTGATACATCATCAAGCAACACCAATTATCGTTCCGAAATGGAAAAATGGTGTCGTCTATGGAAATTGACTCCTAATTACAGCGAAATTCCATGGATAGATAATCCTCGATCCAAAGGCAGATCTCTACCAGAACCACCAAGAGATGGAGATATTCACCTACTACGTCGCATCGAAGAGCTCTATAAAATATTTTAATCTCGTTCCACCTTAATTATTGGTCATCGATGAGATCTGCATTGTGGCAACGTCAAACATATCCATCACTAGAGTGCCTCCTCTAAGAAATGACTAATATGAGACCATGAAGCGAAGACTGATTGGCACTAGGATTTCTATATTGCAAAAAGATAAATGGATTTCCAAATGCGGAGTTACCATTAGTTATAGTATACACCATTGTTGATTACACACTAATATTCTCTACACTAACTTTCTAGAGAAATAAGGTCACTAGTAACTTGCCCTTGCAGAATGTTAGATCTGACACTATCGCTGGGGAAAAAGTGGGCGAGATAAAGATAATACTCAACTTCTTGGTAATTTCGTGTAAGAGAGCCTTCAATGGTATCCTTGGTAGATTCTTCTTGGAAAGGCTATATGTCATTGCCTCACCAATCCATATGAAGGTAGTGTATTATAACATTGAAGGAAACCCATTCATAATCAATGTCGACCCTAAGAAGACAAGGTTTATCAAAGAAGTCATCCTCATATATCTCCTCACCTCTTCATCAGAAGTAGAAGAAGGTCCTGAGAGAGTCAATAAGTTTTTTTCCTGATAAACACTTTTTGGATAATCTCTCTGAAGAAAGTCAGATGAGACCATAAATGCAATGGGACTTAGGGTTTATTTGCTTACTTCTATTATTGTGTGATGTCGTTAAGTTGTGTCCTTATTCCCAAACGGGGAGCCTTTCATACCTCATCTCATGTCCTAAGATCATCAAGAACTGACTCTTCAAGTCTCCTGATTAAATGATGCTAATAACATATGTTGTCGCAATCGTTATCATGCAATGTCTTCTCCATTAATTTTTGTAACTCCTATGCAACCAAGGGATTTACCTATAACCATTACACTGGGTTCTCAACTTGGACCCCCGCTATATACATTTCCTGGGAACGTGGTTCTGAGAACCACACGGCTGAACCTTTACGTTGATTCGGGCTCTTATTTTCCTTGTAAGCAACAACTTGACTATCATCACCTTTTTGGAGTATTCAGCTTATCCGACCCATATTTCTCGGCCATGATGATTTATAACTCGACTATGAGAATATAGCAATCGATTCCCCCTAGTCAAAGATTACATGGATTATTGTGTAGATGGTGTACCCTCATTGGATCTAGCCCATCTAAGGGACATAAGTGGGGGACCGCAGAGAAGTACACCTCGATCCGAGTTATACCTCAGAGAAGGTATGATGATCCTCTACCCTTCTTCAAGGAATGGTCCTTTATTACATGAATCACAGTACAAAGGCATTACCACATCTCATTGAACTGTTGGACACATACCATATTGCTAAAGCGTAAAGAATGAAAACACTAAATACAATAACATCTAAAATGCTTATTACAGCAAACACAACCACATATGATATTATATGTGCAGGTACTTGATAACAAAAAACATTAGAAAATAATTTAAAAACTTGAAGGAGGTGCGAAAGGAAATAAGCTCAGAAGCAAGAGACTCAAATTGGTACAAGGTACTCCTAAAGGCATATTTTTTCAAACGATCCTCATCAGAAAACTCATGTAGTTGAGCATCTAACATAGCTTATTGCTCCCTAAGATTTTTTTCTCCTTTCACCAGGCTTTCCTCCCATTTTGTCAACTCTTCCGCAGTACACTGAAATACAATAGATGCAATATCTGCCTTGAGCTCACTCTAATAGACATCATCTTCCATCTTCCTAAACAGGTTCTTGATGTCCTGAAGTAGTGAAAAACACAAGAAGGGGGGGTTGAATTGTAAAACTGAAAATCAATGCAATGAACAAGATATTTTTATCCTGGTTCGTTTGATCTCAAACTACTCCAGTCCACCCGTCAAGGTGATTTCGCCTCTCTCCAACGAGGTCTTAATCCACTATATTCAACTGAATATTACAGACTGCTTTAACAACTGCTAAAGCCTTCTTGATGCAAACCACAACCCGGTTTGTCAAGGAAACACTTTCTTACAAAGAAGATAAATCTAAGTGTGTGAATGTTTTCTACAAAACTGTATCACAACTGTGATGTATACACAACTTTAAGCTTAGAAACAAGATTGCTAAAACAAAGATTGAGTAAGAGGATGTGTAGTGTTTAGCAAACTGAGAGAAGGAAGATTATGAT